GATATTGTTGAATTTCTTGTTTAATTTCATCTGTGACCCATTGGTTGCTGAGTAGGGTGTCATTTAATCTCCATGTAGTTGAAGTTTTTTCTGGTTTGTTTTGTCATTTATTTCCAGTTTCATCGCACTGTGGTCAGATAATGTGCATGGGATAATTTCTGTTTTCTTACATATACTTAAGCATGACCTATGGACCAGTATGTGGTCTATTTAAGAAAATGACCCATGTGACATTTCCAATCTGTGTTCCTTTTGGTAGATAAAGTAGTTGCAGATAAAAAGCAAATTTGAATTATAGAAGAAATGACTTAAAACAAAAAAAGAGTGTGATGTGAGAATGGTCTTATTTACCATTACCCCTAGATGCACTGGCAAAATATTTGCTACATGTTCCAATGACCTTATGTTCAGTTGGCCTAGAAGACAGTTGCAGAGAGGGAAAGCCTTCTATCATGAAGCACAGCAATGCATCCGAGGAATCGAAGGTTAATACTTCCCCAAGTTCATTTTGTATTCTTCATGCTTCTGAGTAAAGTAGTTAAAGTGAATATTGGTGATGGCAGGGGTGATTGATCCTGATTAACAAAACTAAAGTGGACTATTAATCCACTGGAAAAGAAAAGATAAATATAATTTGAATACCAGGGATCTCTCAAGGGGCCTGCCAATATTATCCCGCCTTGTTATTAAATCAGTGGAAAACTAAAACAACCCAATCCAAGCAGAAATTGATAAGTGACCCAAGAAAATAATCAAAACCTGCTGAGATTGTTGGTGAGAGCCACAGGATACAGAATAAGTAGTGAAAGAAGATAGTTATGAATACCAGCTATGATCCCAATTCTAGTTACAAAAATAAGAATTGTAATTGTTCTCTTCTAATGTGCTTGCTGTACAACATAATATTCATAGAGTTTACATTGTTTTTTAATGTTATTTACTCATGTTATAATGTTTCAGTCTTGAAATGTTAGTAGTAAACACCGAAAGATCACTTATCTTCTACTCTGGGAAGGGAATTAGTGCATTTGCATTTGTAAGCAGGATACTTGTATCATTTGGGTGTAATTATAAACTTGTTTTGTATCTGGAAACTAAATATGTTTTATCAATTAAAACTCTCTTTTAATTTGTGTTTGATGTGAAGTTAACCCAGGATGAATTGTGATATTTTTGTGTTGTGACACTTTGAGTAAGAAATTCCTAGATGATAGGCTTATCATACAGTTGTAGGTATGATTCAATCATAGTTACAGAAGACTTACAGAAGAGTGAAAATCCTTGCAGTTTGGAGAAGCTGGAAACATGGATTGCCTGAAGAAATCCATAAAGATTAAGCAAAACTAAGCCAAGAGAGAGGACAGGAGGACTACAACCACTGAGAATGTCATAGTGGTGTGGCCACATAAGTCCTTTGAAGCTTGGGTCTTGCCATAGATTTCCCTAGATGCTGGACATGGTACTATAAGATATGTTTGTCCTCATGGATTTTGTTCTTACTCTTGCCCTATTTCTTTATAGTCTCCCTGATAGTCCACCTGCTCCTTTGCAGTAGAAAAAATGAGCACTTGATATTTCTTGAGCCTGCTGACTATGGACTGAAATCTCTACAAACTCTGAGTCAAAACAAACCTCTCCTTTCACATGTGAATGATATTGATAATTGTGTTCCATCAACAAGAAAATATTTAAAACAATATATTTCAAAAACTAGAAAAAATTTGAAACAACCAGGATGTTCTTTGTCTTTGTACAAGTTTACTTATCTTAGCTTTCAAAAACGTTTAAGAAAAGTCAATTGAAATTGAGACTTACTGGTTTCTAAGAGTGCAGATCCTGAAAAGAAATAATTAATTCAAAAATACAGATTTCTTTAAATTAACTTATTTTTCTTTTTTCCCTTAATTTTTCCTTTGGATTTTCCTTTATTATTTATTTATTTATTTATGTGTGTGTGTGTGTGTGTGTGTGTGTGTGTGTGTGTGTGTGTTTTAGAGATTTGGGTGTAATCTCTCATATGGTTCTTTTTTTCCTTTATTTTTTTCTTTTTGCTAATTTGTCTTTCTCTTTTCTTTTTCTTTCATTTTTTGTTCTTTTCTTCTGTTGCAGTTATCTAATACTATTAACTTTTATTTAATACTTAATAGGAGAGCCAGCCAAATAGCTCAGTGGATTAAAGTGTCTACAAGCAGGCGCTGAACACCCTGCAGACCCTTCCCTAAAAATACAAAAAAGAAAAACTTAATAGGATCTCCTATCTCACTTTTCTCACCTTCTTCTCATCTTCAAATATTAACATATGAAATTCTACTTTTCTCATGCTCTAGTTATCAATTTTCTCTATCCCAACTTGTACAATATTAAGGTTAATATATTTGTAGATAGTTAATTAACTCTATGCTACTACTCTATTGTTAATGGACATAAAAATGTTCCATTGAGTATTTACTATATGTCAATAGTTGATTTATCTATGTATTTATACTATATTATATATTGCTTCTAGTTGTTAACAAAAGTATGCTATTGGTTCTTAGGCTATGCCAATATCCACTTTGTCTTTGATACTATTATTTTTGCTGATTTTATTAGTATAGCCAAGGTAACAGTCATTGCTGTTAATTAGATTTTTCTGAATGTCAGTATCTAGACTGTCTTGTCACATTAACAATATTATAAGCAGATCCCAGGAAAGTGTGCATTGGTCCAAATACATTGAGCCCCCCGGACTTTCCTGGGACAGAGACAAAGGCCAATTTTTAGGCATGCTTAGAGGAACCCACTAAAAAAGTAGACATTAACTAATGAGATCCTCATCCTAGCAACAAAACCTTCCACTATAATGAATTTACAAGCCTCAGTACACATACACACACACACAAATTAGAAATGTGAGAAGTCAATGAAATGCTTCCAAAAACTCTCAAGTCCTCCAATGCTGATCTATGGGGCATTTGGAGAGAAGAAACCAAAAATCTCACAACCAAACTATTCAAAAGGATAACATGGCTGAAGAGATAGTTCAGCGGTCTAAACACCTGCCTGGCAAGCATAAGGACCTGAGCTCAATCCCCAAGACCGCATGCTGTGCCAGCCCAGGAACCCCGAGCATGCCATGCAGGCCTCCAAAACCAGTTGTGTTGGTGCTCGCCTGTAATCATAGTTCTGGGAAGGCTGAGACAGGAGGATCACTACAAGACTGAGCTGTGTAGTGAGACCCTGCACCAAATAAATAAATAAAAACCAAAACCAAAAAAAAAAAAAGGATAACAGAAGAGATAGAAAAAGATCGGTAAGATGCTTGATGAACAAAAAGAAGATATAACTAAACAGACAGTAGAGCTAATGAAACAACTAGGTAGCTACAGAAGACAACTATAAGCTAGTGGGGCTAAAAAATGATTTAAAACATGAATTCTCAGCATGAAGGAGAATCACAGTAGCAAAAGTTACAAACAGAAATTAAAATTCTATTGACTGCAGCAGCAGACACGACCAGGGTGAGCAAAGTGTAAGAACTAGAAACCAGGATGAGCACTAGAGAAAAAGATCTTGAAAACAATAACCACTACAAAGACAGCAATATGCAATGTACTAATTATTGAAATTGTCCTATGAATCGGTTTTGAAACTGTCTCATTGCTATTTGTCAATGAAATAAAAAAAAAAAAAGAAAATAACACAACATCAGTAAGGGACTCAAGTGCCACTAGGTGGCACTAAGAAGACTAGGAACTAGTGGAAAATCAGAAGACAGCACAAACGGCATAAAACATTGTTCATTAAAATAATACTGGAAAACTTTCTAAATACTGGAAAAGAATTGAACATACAGATAATTGGCACCTACAGAACCCCTAACGCTATCTAAAAATAATTTTTGGTGTGAGGAGAACCTTTCAAAAGATAAAAGTAATTGAATCCAAGCTATTTTTATTCCTATGTGATTTCAGACAATTAGTATCTTTTAATCACAGTTTAATATATTTAAAGGGAAAAAGATAAAAGCTTCATTTGCATAGTTATTGTGAGAAGGAAAATGAAATTTTTCACTGACCTAGTAATGATTCAAATATAAAGGATTATTAAATGGTGATATGAATTAGTAATGCCTTATTATACTCAAAATGATACATTTGGGGAATTAACATAATCAAAACAAGAAAGAAATGAAGGAAATGCATACAAGACAACTTACCCAAGTGCTCTGGACTCATACATCCTACAGACCCCTTGTGTTCTGCAGGCTGTTGTGGACCACTTTATACATGTTCTGTCCACCATGGCCCCAAAATATATTGGAGCTAGCATTCCCCCTGCAATGTGAGATGGCAGGCTATCAATCAGTGGCGGCTGTCAGGTGACACTGCGTGGGAATCTGCACGGATCAGCGCTGGTTTCTACATCACACTTCTATTCCACTTTATTTTAATCTGGCCCAATTTTTGGAATAAAGAAATCTTAGAACGATAAGGGACTGATAATTGAAAACAAAATCTTAGGAAAGTGCTACTGATTAAAATGGTGGAGACATTTGCAGATTATGAAAACTTAGAGCCATCCTCTGAAACTGCATCAAGCATTTCTCCAAAGAGTACCACTGACGTGAACAAACTTAATAAATTAACTGTTAAGGTCACAAGAAATTTTGTCTCAATCATTACTAGAATTTTCAACTTTCTGGATTTTTTTTCCAAATAATTCTCAATTAATATATAACAGTATAACTTTTCACAACCCATACCTATATTTTACCCAAGAAAACTGCCTATGATTTCCAAGTTTGATCCTTAGTATGTATTTTGCCATGGAAGCATTGGATTTCCCTAAATCATGCATATGACCCAGCCAACCTAAGTACAATGTCAAATTACAATTGTATAATTAAAGTAGCAAAATTCCTTTTTAAATTTCTATGACTGGGCTGAGTCTGTAGTTCCCCATAGAGCTCTTCCATAGGACATATGAAGGCCTGAGTTTGACTTTACAGCAGAGCCAAAAAATAAATAAATAAAACTAAAATTAAAATAACATTCTCTGTTCTTGGAAGAATTTCTTC